ACCTTTTTACAGGTCTGTGTGCTCAATCTGGAGGGAAAGCATGCGAACTTTCTTGAGGAAGTGGAGTGTTCTCTGCATGAAGTGCCGATTACGGAGCCCCTCATATTCGCGGGCAATTTTAATGCCTATTTTGGAATAGACGCTGAAAAGTGTAACAGCGTGATTGGAAAAAACGGCCTTAGCGACCTCAACAATAATGGCATGAAATTGTTGCGGTTTTGTGCAAACAACGGATTGTCCATTATGAACACCTTCGAGCATCGAAAAGTGCATCAGCACACCTGGTACAGGGAAGCCTATGCACAGAAGTCGATGATCAATTTGATAATCGTATCGTCTGACTTAAGACGCTCTGTAATGAATCTTAGCGTTAAGAGAGGTACTGAGCTATCATCCGATCACCATCTTGTCGCTGACACGCTGATCTGTAAGAAATGGGCACTATACGAAGATCTGGTGGCAGAGGCGACCGGAGAATCAAATGGGAAACATTATCTTCGGTGGATGCGAGAGCGAAATTTGCAAGCAACATCGCGCAACGGTTTGAACAGATCTGTGACGACCACTGACGTGAAAACCGAACGGCTTACTGGGCGCCGCAACCAAATGCTGTGGTTTAAAACAGGCTGGATTACCCCGGAAGTCAGAAATATAAAAAGCAACCGATATCTGTCTTGTAGTAAAAAGGGTCAAAGAAGCTATAAGAACATCGAAAAGCAATGAGGCTGTTGGAATCGATGAAATTGACAGTGAAAAGCTTAAAAACGGCAAATAAGAAATGCTATTTGTCAACCTGGAATGGTTATGGGAAAGATACTAGTGGAACGGATAACTGGAGTGGTAGTATTCCTGTTCAAGAATTAAGACAATTGGGAGAGTTTCAATTACCAAGGGATTAAGTCATTCAGCCTCACAAGAAACATTTACGAAAAACTGTTCGAAAGGAGAAGGTCGCGGAATAGCTGGCCGTAACATTCAAAAGGAGCGACGTGGCATAAGGTCAGTCAGAACTACCTCTGACGGGAACTTTGGGTTACGTCATATAGTTGAGCAACTGTGGAAGTCTTCACATCAGGTTTAAGTGTCTCGTCAAACGTATGAAAGCCTATGAGGTGATTCCGCGCAACAAACAACGGTATGCACAGATATGCCCATAGACTGTTGCGTGTGATCCGGACATAGGCATTCTCAAGATCAACAAAGCACATATGCACCGGATGGGCGAATTCCCACAATTTCTTAACAATCTTGCGTAGGACCAGTATCTCGTCAAATGTGCTTCGGCCGGGTGGGAAGCCACATCGTTCCTACAGTATCGTTCCGCGGCATTTCCTATCCAGCACCTTCGGGTAGACTTTACCCAGGAAGCTCAACAAGGTAATGCATCGATAATTGGAGCAGTCCCTATGATCTTCATTCTTGAACAGGGATAAAACAATCGCCGTTATTCACTCTGTTGGTGTCTTCTCCAGACCTACTGCAGTTTCACGTGTAAGCCAGCATGCCTTTTCCACCTATTGCTTTGAGCACTTGAGAACGGCAACCTTTCCACTTTGCAAACTTTCCCCAGCTTGTGTAATTTCATCTACAGAAAGAGTAATACCCGTCCCCTACTGGTCAACAGGCGAGTCTTCCTGCGGTTGCTCGGGGTAAAGGATTTCTTCAAAGTAGTACACCCTCAATCGCTGAAGAATGTCATCGTCCTTGGAAAGTGGGTGTCCACACCTGTCCTTCAAGGTTCCTAGCCTGTCCCTCTTTCCACCTCGGAGTTGGCGAACGGTCTGCCAGAATACTTTGTTTGCCGTGTGGAAATTCGACTCCCAACGCCTCACCGAACATCTCCCAGGAATCAGCCTTGGCTTTTGCCACTCCTATGGCTGTCGCCTTGCCTACCTCGACATATCGCACGCGAGTAGATGACTTGTTGTTTTCAAGCCATTTGTTGAACGCTGTTTTCTTCTCTTTAACTGCCAGTTGTATCTCTCTTGTCCATCAGGAAGATTTTTTCTGATTTCAGGCGACAGGCCAACCCGTTTATATCCGTAGCATTCGGCGGCAGCCTCGAGTATTCCGCTCTTAA